AGAGCCCGTGGCCAAGGCGCACCGGGAGGCCACAGGGGCGCGCAGGACGACCACAAAGGCGCGTTTTTTGATAACCAGTTCGGCTGTGCCCTGCGCCTGCCACAAAGATCGGAGCCGGCGGCCGGAGCAGGGAAGGGGACCCGTAAGGAAGAGAGCGAGCAGCTGGACGGGCAGGCTGGAAAGACAGAAGGATGCGGACTGACGCTCGGAGAGCAAAGGTTTGGGCGCGGGACGTGCGCTTAAGCTGGAGCTCAGATCTCCAAAGAGCACAGGAATGACGAAGGCAGCGCCGGGGTGACGAGGAGACTCCACGCGGGAGTGGCGCCCCAAGTTCTCTGTGCGTCGACAGTGATGACCTCCTGCCAGCCCTCTAGGGGTCTGGCTAACGGGAAAGGGCCACCGGGTATATTGGGGTGCAGCCAGAAGCCGGTGGACGACGAAGACCCCCAGGGGGGAGGGTGCCTCTGTACTTCCCTTCCCCACCCCCCTACCCCCCCACCCTCGCAGCGGTTGTCGCTCGCTGGGAGCCGGCTTGCTGGAGGGGGCGCCCAGCGGCGGTGGCTCCCCGGAGCGCACTCTCGGGGCGCAGGGCATTTGTGTCCGTAGCCGGCAGGGGCAGTTCCTGAGGCCAAGACTCTGGGGCAGGAGCAGGGGAGGGTGGTTGCAGACGGGTGTGGCTCAGCTCCACCGGCAGCCGGAACTCCCCTGAGTGCGGGAGCCTCCGGCGGAATGAGGGGCTGCTGTTAGGCAGACGGAGGGGCTGAGCCCAGCGGACGCCGGAAGCAGGGCAGGTGCGTCCTTTTCCTTGAAAATTGCATTTGCTCCCGAACTGGAAATCTAGGCGGGGGCAGGGCATCACAGTCACTTGGAGTGGGTGATGAGCGTCAACGCCATGTCTCAGGACCCAAAGCCACGGGAGGTGCAGGTGCCACTCTCACCGACGCGTTGCACTCTGACACAGTTCCCTTGCATCAGCCGCTCCCTCCCAAGCGAACTCCTGGCCCATCCCGGCCACTGTGGAGACAAGGCCACTGGGAAACAGGGGCACAGGAGGGGCAGGAGAGGCCTGGTGAGGGTCACTCCTCGCAGACCCCAGACCCATCAGGTGGGCAGAGAAGAAAGGTGTAAGATGAGGTTGGGAAGGTCTGGGCAGCAAGGGTGGTGTGGAACTGGGATGGCCAAGACTGGTCAGAGAGCATTGCCACAGGTGTCCCTGGTATAGTCACCACCACTGGTCAGGCTCATCAAGGCTCAGCGTGGGGCTTCCTCTTGGGGGTGCAGGGGCCTTTGGTGGCAGGAGGGGGACCTGCACGTTGTGCTCTACGTGCTGCTAAGCGCATTTTGAAGGGAAATTCTTCTGGCCTCTGTGTTGCCCCGGCCGCCATTGGGCAGCTGTTGAGGAGCCCAGAGTCAAGTGCAAGAAGTTGCAAGAAGGCTGGGAGCAAACTGGCACCCGAGTTCTAACTTCATCCTGCATCCGTCTAATGACCACCCCCAACCTCCAGAATCCCAGACTCCTGCTGTCTCAGAGAGAGGAGGTGAGAATGGCTCCCATAGGAGGAGAGGGGGAAAGCCACAGGGGATAGGGAGTGGGGTTGGGGGTGTTTCTTGACTGAGGTGGGGAGGGCTGGTCCCCAGATTCTCACCCCAGATCCTTACCTCGGAGAACACTTTTGCTGCTCATCCCTCCCCTGCAGAAGCTGTTTGCTTTCTCCTGGGATTTGGTCTCTGATTCAGGACACAGAATCCCAGGATCTGGAACAAACTTTGGGGTTGTCTAGGGCCTAGACAAAATGTGCAGTTGCAGTGGTCGGCAAACTGCAGCTCGCGAGCCACATGCGGCTCTTTGGCCCCTTGAGTGTGGCTCTTCTTAAGCCTTAGGAGTACCCTAATTAAGTTAATAACAGTGTACCTACCTATATAGTTTAAGTTTTAAAAATTTGGCTCTCAAAAGAAATTTTAATCATTGTACTGTTGATATTTGGCTCTGATATTTGCCATGCCTGAGTCGTAACAGACTGCTACCCAGGCAGTGCTTGCGGGGACAGGGCACTCCCAGCCCCAGGCAGCCTTCTAATAGCTCTGAACGTGACCATGTTTTGTCTTAGCAGACCCACGAGAGCCACGACATCTCCAAGGCAACTTCGCAGCGGGAATTTACATGCCACCTGGGAACACGCGTCTGAAACATGAGTTCAAGCGCCTTGGGAAGTTAGTCTTGGATTCTGCCGGCTAGTCACCTTGTGGTGACCTTCAGGCACCAGAACTTGGGTCAGCTGCAGGGACAGTCTACTCAGCTTCAAGCCACATCCCAACCCCAGTCCCTCATGTCTGATGACCTGAGCACAAGGACATCCCTTAGAGAGAGATGCGTGCATGGTTATAAGGAAGCCAGGTCCCCAAGGTGGGCAAGTGATCAGACGCTGTTACTGGGCATCACAGCCTCCTGGGATGGCGGGTCCCCTCTGCGCTCCTGTTCCTTTGTTCTCCAGGCAGCACAGAAGGTCTCACCACAGCTCTGCCCTAGGCACCCTGTAGACAAGGCATAATGAGGACTCAGCCTCTGCCTTGTCCACTTTTGGGGGGTGCGGGGTCCCTGCAAAAAAAGCATTATTTCAGAAGACAGAACAGGTGTTCCCTGGCCATGACTGGTTGATGCTCCTGAGAGTCAAGAGACCCGAATTCGCCCAGCTGGAGTGACTCAGTGGTTGAGCGTTGACCTATGAACCAGGAAGTCACGGTTCAATTCCCGGTCAGGGCACATGGCTGGGTTGCCGCCTCGATCCCCAGTGTGGGGGGTGCAGGAGGCAGCCGTCAATGATTCTCTCTCATTATTGATGTTTCCATCTCTCTGTCCCTCTCCCTTTCTCTCTGACATCAATGCAAATAGATATTTTTAAAGAGACCAGAATTCGAATCCTGCCTCTAACCTCAAGCTGCAAGTCCCTCAGCCCTTCCTAGCTTTAGATCCTCAAATGCACAGTGAGGCTGACAATCAAATGTCCACCGAGGGTTCACCTGTGAGAGGTGGAGGGCATGTGGGCATGGGGCCGCTGCCAGGCACCCGGCCAGGAGCCTGCCCTTGGTCTGGACCTACCATGGCCCCTGGCCTTTGTGACTCAGAGCTGGAGAGAGGGTTAGGCTGGAGCTCTGCCCTGAGGAAGGTATCGCTGGGAGGGCAGGAGAGGGAAGGTGGTGATGTTACCTGCAGAGGCAGCTGCCTGCTGGCCCTCACTACACCTGATGGTACTGATCTCCACTCAGCCGAGAGGTGCTGCAAATGTCTCCCCCAGAAAGGACTGGATGGGCTGCCTGGGCCACAGGTGCGGGAAGATTCCAGCAGTGCTCTGGCTCGACTTCCTGTCTGATGCTGGGGCTGGGTTTCCTTGGGCTCTGAGGAATTTCCCAGGGCTGCCCTGCTCCAGGTTACCCCCGGCAACAGCTCTGGCATCCACACCCAGTGGGCTGCAGCCAGGCTCCCGGCCACTGGCTTGACCTGCCACTGGCTTGACCTGCCATTGGGCTCTGGGCCTTTGCATGGGGGAGGGGAGGGGACAGAGAAGGGAGCAGGGTGGGTTCTTTCCCAGAAGTTCCACAGGGGTCCTCTCTGAGCCCTCTGTTTGGGACAAATGCAGAGGGCTGGCGGACACTGCCATCTGCTGGTCACCGGTAATGTGTGCTACCACTACACCCCAGCTTCTGTTCTGCATCGCTGGGGCTTTCCTTGGAGGGAAGGCGGGAAGGGCAGAGGGTCTGCGTGCTTCCCTGGCCAGGTTTACAGACTCAGCTTTTCTGTTCCTGAGCCACTTTGGCAGGTGTCAGGGTCTCGGCTTCTCATCCCATGGTGAGGTGAGTCCATATGAGAGGGTCTGTCATACCCTGCATCCTCTACCCTGATCCAGCTGTGGCCCCAAAGGCAACCATCAGAGGCATGCCAGGCACAGCGAGTGAGCACACAGAGGGAAGGAGGCAGGACCTGGCAGAAGGGGCAGGACAGGGACCCGGAGGCAGCAGGTCCACCGACACACTGAGAGCACAGGGCAGGAGGGTCCTTTCACTGAGACGCCCAGAGCCTCCACAGGGCCTGGAGCAGAGGCCTAGCTCGGCAGGTATTATTGAATGTGTGAATGAATGAATGAGTGAGCCATGAGAGAGCCCTGGCTGGTTTGGCTCAGTGGATAGAGCCTCAGCCTGTGGACTAAAGGGTCCCAGGTTTGATTCCAGTCAAGGGCACATGCCCGGGTTGTGGGCTCCATCTCCAGTGGGGGCATGCAAGAGGCAGCCGACCAAGAAAGCCGAGAGAGAGAGAGAGAGAGAGAGAGAGAGAGAGAGAGAGAGAGAGAAGAGTAGCTTTGTGATGGAGTCCAACTAGGAGAAGAAACAGAGCAGAGTCTTGTCTATTTAGTTGCTAAACATGAGAACAACACAAACACACTGACTAAATGTCCCTTTGTGCCAGGCCCCGGGGCTGAGTATTTTACAGGTGGTTGCAAAGAAGTGGAAAGTTTGTGGATCTGAGTTCCAGGGCGGTGGGGTGGGGAAGGGAGGCTGGTTCTTTGGGGAAATACAGTCAAGCAGAAGCCCTACTTACTCTTCCCAGAGTGTGGGGAGCCGCTCTGGGAGGGGGTGTCCTTAGGAAGGGAGGACCCGAGCAGGAGGGTACCTGGAGAGGGGACTGCACACAGAGAGGGCGAGATGCCGCGGCTCTGTGAGAGGGAAGCTCTGGGTGACAGACTCCTTGGCAAAGTGTCGACTCCTCTGAGCCCCTTCTCCACTAGACCTTGACCTCCCCACTTCTGTTCCCCCCCCCCACCCCCCCCTGACATCTGAGTCCTTGGCCTGCCTTCAGCACGATGCCTGCTAGGCTCCTTTAGCAAGACTCCCCCTCCCCGTGCTGTCTCCGCCAGGAATTTTCCTCCCCTGGTCCTCACCCTGCTCCGTGGCTGTAAATCCCCACGTGTCCCTTCGGGGTTCAGAGTTGAGCCTCAGCTCTCTCCTGTTGCAATAGTCTTGAATAAAGTCTGCCTCACCTTTTTAACACGTGGCAAAATAACTTTTTTTTTTAGCAGAAGAAAGACAGTTTTTGTGGGTTTTTTTTTTTTTTTCAGTTTGTCCCTGCGGGGTTCAGAGTTGAGCCTCAGCTCTCTCCTATTGCAATAGTCTTGAATAAAGTCTGCCTCGCCTTTTTAACACGTGGCAAAATAACCTTTTTTTTTTTTTTAGCAGAAGAAAGACAGTTGTTTTTGTTTTGTTTTTTTCAGTTTTTGTTGAGAACTCCCTGTTAGCCTCTTCCAGGAAAGCCACTGGAAGGCCTCTGGAGTCAGGCTGTTGTTTCTTTAGCTGCCCCCGCTCCCCCCCACCCCCCACAACAACACACACACACACACACACACACACACACACACACAAAGGGGTCTAGTTTATCTTGTTTGCTGGGTTATATGTTCCCCCATTTGACCCTCCTAGCATCTCTCTGAGCATCTCTAGGGATATGAGCACTGGTGGCATTGTTCCCCCAACACTCTCCCCAAGGCAGGAGACCAGATAATTTCTCTTTGAACCAGGACATTCTGGGAACTCCTATGAGTGACACCAGCAAACCAACGGTCCTTGTGGCCTTGATTAAATTTAAGTTTAAATCCTGGCTCTGGATATCATAGCGCTCTCTCTCTCTATATATATATATAGACACACACACACACACACACACACACACACACACACACACACACATATATATCCCCTTCAGGGACGCAGGCTTTCCCCTGGATAATCAACAACCCCCGAGATAGCAGAGGACAGTAGCCTGGATCTGACTAAGGACTGCAAGGTCCCAGCCTCTGACGAGCTAAAGATAACTTTTTTTTTTTAATTGATTTTAGAGGGAGAGGGAAACACTGATTTGTTGCTCCACTTGTTTATATATTCATTGGGGGTGCAGGGCCAGGTTATCAGAAAGGTCCACAATTGAACGTGGCCTCTGGTCCAGCGCAATGGCCACCAGGGGGCGGGGGAGAATAAGGACTGCAAGGTCTCAGCCTCTGATGAGCTAAAGTTAACTTTTTTTTTAAAAAAAAATTTGATTTTAGAGGGAGAGAGAAACACTGATTTGTTGCTCCACTTGTTTGTATATTCATTGGGGGTACAGGGCCGGATTTTCAGAAAGGTCCACAATTAAACGTGGCCT